TACACATCACATCAGACTTAACTTCCCCTCATGCGTGTGACCGAATTCACCGCGCCACTTCCTGCGACTTAAATTGCGCACTTCCTGCTACTTAAATTGCGCACTACTGGCGATTTTCGCCACCGCCAAGATTCCCCCCCCCCCCCCCCCCCCCACGCAGCGTGGATTGGGGCTAAATTAGATGGCTGGGACTCATGAGCAGCAGCTACCACATCTCCTGCAGCGTCCTTTATTTTATTTGCTCCAGAGTCCCAGCCGTCTGGTTTAGCCCCAATCCGCGGCATGGGGGATACTCTCGGCGGTGGCGGTATAGTCCCCGGAAGTGCGCAATTGACACGTGACTGAGGCTCTGTTAGGGTATATTTTCTGCCTAAATGATTTGGGACCGTTATTTGGAAGATAGCCACTCAATCTATACATTAGATTTTGTTCCAAAGAATCTTTTGAAGCATCTTAACAGGGCACCATTATTTGGTAAAGAAAACTGACTCCCAAAACAATAAGTAGGCTCTCCTTGCAGATCCGGACGAGGGTTGGACGACTTAGTTCAGTTGAGTGGGAGTTCTCTCCCTTGGCCGCACTCGAAACAGTAAGCGGAAAAGTCACGAAACAAATGACATACTTACCTATCATCATACGGTTGCGTGTAAGGTTGTGTACGGTTGCGTAGTCATCATACGGTTGCGCGAAGGGTTGCGTAGTCATCATACGGTTGCGCGAAGGGTTGCCTAGTCATCATACGGCTGTGTGTAGGGTTATACCTATCGTCATACGGTTGCGTGTAGGGCTGCGTACGGTGTGGTTTAGGGTTAGGGGTAGGCTTAGATGTGACAATTTTGACGTAGGAGTTCCAAATACTGGTCGACAATCTGATGCTTGTGAGAGTGGCGCCACTGAAAGTCTGTCAAATATGACCGCAATAGCATGCAGCTGGTGCCCAACCGGTGGCGACGTGTCCGTGTCAGTAGCATCCACAGTCCGTCAACTGTTTGGGTGTGTATGCTATGTGACAGTGCGCGATTATTGGGAATTCCTGCGTCGTCAAAATTGTCACATCTAACGCTAAACCTAACCCCTAACCCAATCCCTAACCCTAACCTTACCCCTAACCAACACCCCTAACCCAAACCCTACGCAGCCCTACAGGCAACAGCATGATGGACTACGCAACCGTATGATGACTACGCAACCGTATGACTACGCAACCGTATGATGATAGGTAAGTATGTCATTTGTTTCGTGACTTCCGCTCACTGTTTCGAGTGCGGCCAAGGGAGAGAACTCCCACTAAACTGAACTAAGTCGTTCAGCCCTCGTCCGGATCTGCAAGGAGAGCCCAATAAGTATCTTCACACAAAACAAAGTTTTTATAACACTCACTTTGCCTGTAATTTTGTAGCTTTGTTCCTAAAAAATAAGGGGAATAGCACTAGAACCTTGCAATAATAGTTGGACTGCGACGGCCACTTTATCGGAGTTCAGTCCCCGTTATTGCAAGGGGAACCGAAAATTGTCTTCACTAATGTTTATTATATTTGTGCCAGCTGACTTTGCTATCGTTGTACCCTTCACGTGAGGTACACATTAGACATATTCCTCATCAAAGTTTGACTATAAATGACTGAAACAGATCTATTTCACAGCGTTATCTATCTAACTTTGGATAAATCAAATAAACACATACTTTTTTTTTTAAATTTGAGGCTTCTTAAGCCTTAAATCATGTTGGCATGCATGTAGAATACTGCTTGGCGGCCATATTATTTTCAAACAAACACTTAGTAACTTGGAAGTTGAAATTGAGCAGTCTGCGTTTTATAACCGGTCAGTGGTAGATTAAAAACCTTAACTTGTAAAGGGGCAATTGGGCCGCGCAGTTGTAACAAATCATCTTTTTTGTTTATCTGTGAATGACCCTTCTCTTTTCAGTTGGTGACTCCAAGTGTTTTTAGGTCTGTTTGTAGATTATCTCTGCACCCTCTTCTTGGTCTATCTTGTGGTCTGCTCCCAATGACCTCTCTCTCTCTCTCTCTCTCTCTTTCTCTCTCTCTGTCTGTCTGTATGTTTATATATGTGTGTGTGTGTGTTTATTAGCCAGTTTCTTCATCAGCCATTGGGTCGCCCATTGGCTCGCTGGTAGACAACTTTGTCTCCAGGCCCGAACAGTATTTCGGTCCGTCTCCTGTGATCGCATCAACACTGCAGGAGTCCTTTTCAGGGCGCACATAATCTAGTCATAGTTATAACCTAAAGCTCCCTTTTTGGGGATTCTAGTTGAACGTGGTGATTTTTTTTTTTTTATTTAGTAAAACAGCGGAACGAAGCTGGTTTCTTCTATATCTATTTTCTGTCATTCATATTTAAGCCATTAACCTTACCTAGCAAGTAAATTAAATAATAAAACCTGTTGTTTTAAAATTGAAACTGTTTTTTATTTGTTTCAGAAAGCTACATAGAAATAAACCACCAATGAGCAGTTTATCACAAATGTAGTGATACCAGACAGCTTTACAGTAGCAGATTTCTAATGGTTTTAAATTTTTCAATCCCACCCGCCATCACAAATATGTCCCGGACAAAAGAAGAATTGTGTGAACAGATTCTGAGGGAATATTATGGAGATATTGTTGCTTCTGTTGGTATATTCCTGATGAAAAACAAATCAAGTACATTGGGGGTCATAACACAAGGCACTTCTCTTGATCAGAAACAGGTAATGCATTTTTCTTTATTATATTCCAGCAAGAATTGCTGAGAGATGTTAGAAGTTAATCAGGTGTCTTATATGCGCATTATTTTTTCCTTTGTAAGTGCTCAGTAATAATGTTTTTCAAAATGTCACACATTGGTTAATACCTTATAGTAGGTACACCGCCCTAAAAATATGGTAAAACAGACAGTTTGACCGTAGATACATTTGTGTAATTATTAAAGTGCTTTATTTTCTCTTTAGTGTTTTTTTTTCTTCTGTTTAGTGTGCCAGACCACATAAATCAACTACACGACAGCTGCCTTAAACATCACATGAAGATCAATATTGAAAAAAAAAGCAGAAGTCATGAGAATAAGTAGAGTAATAAACCATTGACATACAGATCAAAGTCTGAAACAAGTGCAAGAATTTGAATTCTTGGGAAGCATCTTTACACACAATAGTAAAAAAGAGAGATAGAAACGAGAATTCAACAAGCTATAAATGTCACTTACCACCGTGCTCCAATTTTAAAACACCCTGCTATCCCAATAGAGACAAATTATAAGTACAATATTTATGCCGACTTTACGTTACCAATGTCAGACTTGGACATTGACAAAAGAAAACTAACCACCAGTGAGATGAGATGTTTGAGAATGGCTGTGAGTATCAATCAGAAGAGATTGAGTGAGAAATGACGTGATCACAAGAACTGTTGGAACAACACCCATCGTCAAATTTATTGAGAAACAGAATGAAATGGTTGGCTATCTAATGAGAAGGAAACCAACAATGCCAGCAGCAAGAGCATACAACCTGAAAATCAAAACATCAAGAGGCAGGGGAAGACCGAGAAGAAGATGGATTGAAGGAGTCACTAACACCTGGAGACTGCATAACGTCACGGCATATCAAGCACCCTGGCTCAGCTGCCGATTGCCTGAACTGCAACGCCTAGCTGCATAAACAGATATTGATAAAAGAAGAAGAAAAAGTGTTTTTAATGTTACATAATGCTGTTGTCACTATAAAGTAAAGTACCATTTTTCACGCCTCAGGTGTATTAGGCACCACTCTACTGTAGCTTAAACAAAAGTTGTGCAGATAAAGAAAATATTATACACAGCAGTTTCATGTCTTTGGTTGGCAGTTAATTTACCCATATAGTGATTTGGGTCTTACAACGGCAAGATTATTTTCCTAATACTTCTCTGTAATGACTCAGCATCATTAAATCGGCACCAACCATTCAGGATGTTGTGAAAGTTGTCTGGGTAGGAAGGGCTTTGATCATTTGCATTGGCCACACTGCCTCATTATGTTATAGCCATAAGTTTTTTAGTGCAAATGTCTGGGATCTATTCTTAGAGACTAAGTCCAAACCAGAATCATGCCAAGAAGTGTTCAGACATCTCTCCTGAATAAACAACAAGTATTGTAAAGATCTAAAAAAAGGAAGCTCGAGAAGGAAAAGATGCTGGCATTGATAGGAGACACATTGAAAAAACTTGAGAACAGTATACCTTGAATGTCTTTACACGGGAACCCACAGGTTCATAGAAATAAAGAGAGGCCAAGAATCACATGGAGAAGGGAGCTAGAGAATAAAGTTTAAAGGATTGGGGAGAGGGGCACATGGGATATCTATAAGACCGCTATGGTCACAAGCAAAATATTTTCAGTTTCAGATGTATCCAAAACCAAAAACTGTTTTCAGTGCTTTGGGCAAAGTTAAATACTCAAAATGTTAAAACTATAAATGAAGTGTACATGTGTCTTCCACAGGTGCCTGGTTAGGGATACATCAGGGATATTACAGGATCCTGGTTAGGGACACATCAGAGATACTGGATTGCCAATCCTTTGGGTCATTTGTTAATATGATTAGTTTATCCCAGTGTGGATTCCGGGGCTCTGTTTTGGAGAACAAAGGACACACCCACTCACTGCCCCACAACAAGCATGTCATAGGAGGCAACTAATAAGGGTTGTTTTCTTCAAAGTTGGAGTGCATATGCCTGGGAGGCAAGGAACCAATAGCCTGTTTACAAATAAGCCAGATCTGTAAAACAGATGTGTACGCAAAACATTGGATCAAGACCAAAGTTTAGGAGTGGAGGAACAACCGTATTTTGCTGGAGTTTACAGCCAGTAAATGCTAAGAAAAAGAGGGTTAAATTAATGCTACTTATATTAATATTAATTTATATGCTATATTATTATTCAGACAGATTTTCTGCTTTCTTTAGAATTTTGTCAGGGAGGATATTGTATAGTGACACTTTTCTCCTTGTCTTCTGAACAGGTCAAGCAGGCATTATGTTCACTCATACAGCAAAACATTGTGACCTTCTCTCAGTCACGATCTGGTGCCATTGAGTACAAATCTCTCCCAGATGCAGTCATCAGCCGACTGAGGTATCCCCGCTACATTCATTGTGCCAAGATGTTGTTTGGTGATGCTGCAGAGCTACTGATCGAGGAGATGCTGTTGCAGGGTCAGACAGACCTGAATTCAGCTGTTGTCAAAGTGACTAACAAACTCAATGAATCACTGGTAGCAAGTGGATCAGGTAGACTTGTTTTATATATGTGTGTGGTTTTTTGTTTATTTTTTTTTTCTCCAAGTTGTACATTTCATATCTTAAGAATATTACAAATCACCTACATTACTGTTCATGATAAAGCTCTTATATGTTTTTCTGTGAGGACTTTCAGCACAGTGTTTGAATCGTTGTTTCTTCTCTGATCCTGAGCTCATGCTGGTGATTATCTAGTATAGTATTTTTGTTACAAGCATTAGGACTTTTAAAAAAAACACTAGAAACAAAACTTAATCGACCATTAAGTGACCTAAAAAAAAACACAGTAAAGCTCATACAGATGAAATTACAAATATAGATAATATATTTCAAGAAAACAAAATAACAAGCATTAAAGTTTGAAATAAATGCATAATATCTTGCCATAATTGTTCTAATAGAAGTATTCTTCTTCTTCTTTCGTTCGCCTGAAATAAGGTATCTATATCAGCAATTTTGTCTCTTGTATAAATTTCACTGTCGTTGTTAATTCATTCAGTGGTCCATAGATTACGTTCCACTGTTGTTCTTTCTGGCCAAAAGGTTTGCCTTAATGTGTCAAATTGGTGCAGTCCTGGAGTACATGCTCTGCTGTCTGGGGCACCTTTCCACAGGTGCACATGGCTGATACGCCTATCTTGAATTTTGTGTACATGTGCCCTGTTCTGAGGCGGAGGATAATGACTTGTTCTGATCTGTCCATAATAAAATAGTCGTCTTGTGCTGGGGCTGGTGGTTTAATGATTGATTTAATGATTCTTTTCTTTTGGTGGTATGTGACTGGTACATCCAGCTGCACTTTTGTCGCACTTTCTCCTGCCAGTTGATCAGCTTTCTCATTTCCAGGCACTCCACAATGTGATGGTATCCACTGCACAACAACTCTTCGCTGAAGGCTAAGTTGTGTCAGCAGTGTTTGCAATTCTGGTAGTTTCCTAGACTGGAGTCCTTCAAGTACTAATTTTGCATCTGTCAGCATTACCACATAATGTGAGCCAAGATTGGTATTTAGCAGTTTCACTGTTGCTATCTTGATAGCCTGAGTTTCTGCATCAAAGGTATGGTAGTACTTTCCGGTTGGTACGCTGGACTTATCCCTAGTACCATCTGGGAATTCTATGTACACTACAGCACCACCATTTCTAACTGCACTTTCTGCGGACCCATCTGTATAGACTCTGACCCATTGTTCTTGTTGGTATTCTTCATCAATATAACTGAGGGTGGCCATTCTGCGTTGTATACTATCTTGTTCTTTCTTGTAAAATATTCCTTTCACATTTGTCTGGATTTGTACTGTAAGTTTGCATTTCTCTCTCCATGGGGTTTGTTCTGGAATACTGTTAAGTGGACAACCAATTTCTGGAAGGTCAGCAGTTTGTCTACATATTCTTTTTGCTTGATGTATAAAGCTGCTTCTTTTTAACCGCCCCAAGGCTAGGTTCTGAAATCTATTTTTCATGGGGTGATCTAGCATACTGAGGAACTTTTCAGCTTGTATTTGCAACTTTGTTTCTCTGCGTTCTCTCAGTGCCTGTGTTTTCCCAGCTTTCTCCATTTCTAATATGGGGGTTGATTTCATCCCTCCTGTGATGACTCTGAGTGCTTGATTTTGCACTTGTCCAACTCCTTTAATGTGGTACTAGATGCTGAACACCATGCAGTTGACCCATATTTGTATGCTCTGCTTGTAAACTTTATTGAGTATTTTCCCACTGGCTCCCCTAATAGAAGTATGTTTATTTAACTTCCATGTATAAATCTGGTCTATTAGTTAAAAGTTTTATTTGTTTAACTAATGAGGGTATAAATTTAATTGTGTTAATCACTGTTTTTATTAATTATTTTCTTATTTTAAATTAGGGTTGGCAGAAATTTCTCAAAACATTGTCAAAGATAAAGTGACAACACTTGTGAAGGCACGCCTTCTGCGTCGATGTGAGAATGTTCTCCGTGACAAAAAGGACCGGGTTGTGGCTATCCAGTCAAATACTGACCCTGAAGTGTTGTTTCAGCTGCCTTCAACTCAGGAATTTGGTATTTATTGTGGATTTTTTTAATTTATACATATAGCTATTGAAATAATTGTTGATTATCCATCCTGTTACAAGTAGTCTGTGTGAATATATAATACCTCTGAAACTATATGCAAAAAAGAAGGTCTATACCCAGGAAATACAAAGTATATGACCAAGATGTTGCCAAAAGGGCAGAGAAACAAAGGAGAACTAGATCTACTGAAATAAACTGCTATAGGCAGAAGTCACAACCTAGGGAATGAAATGTTTTGAACAAAATTGATGCTTGCAACAAAGAGCCTTTCAGGCTTGGCAAGTAGAAGAAGAGACAAGCTGATGAGCACCAATTAGGGTAGCAAAACCTGGCATAGGATTTGACATCTGGTTTGAGAATGGAGATTCAGGTGGTCACTACTGCCTTTCACTAGCTTGAGAACCAGCTGCAATTGTACCTGACTCACAGAACTGTTGAGAAATTCGGAGACAGGTATGCTCTGTGCACAAAGGCAAGCATCACTTTAGAGGTTCTGGGTAATTAATATCCTTTGGATATTTTCTCCAGGATATGCCAGGGTGTTGAGAAACAAACAGGCAGATAGATGGTGGTGAAGTGATGATTGACAGCTAGACGTTGTAAAGGCTCTTTAGGAGTGAGTAAACAGTGAGGAGGCACAAATAGATACAAATTACAGTCGGAAGAGAAATGTGTAGGGAGGAGAGACCTCAGGATCTGGCCGGTGCTTAACACTCTGGGGTAGGGGCAACGCGGACATGTAATCAGACTGTTACTGCTTCTACCACTGGAATTAGAATGCTGTGCTTGCTGCTGAATATGGGAGTAGAGCACTTATGGGAATTCCCGAGTGCTGTGATATCAGTTCTTAATTCATAACTCAAGAAAAAGGCTATATGATTATTTATTTCACTATTCCCTATTCATTCCATTGTGATTTATTCATGTGTGACAGTTACTGTATGACCGTCTATTCATAAACAGCAGAAAGTTTGCTTAAAGACATCACAAGCAATTTTTGACTGAATTTGTTGTTTCTGAATAAATAATTTTTTATAATCGGAGCCGGAGGTGACACTAAGACAGTGGCTATCTTGTTGTAGAAGGGGTTATGTACTTACTTACTTAGTCGCTCCTCTTCTACCTTGGGGTGTAGAGGTTTGCCAGAGAGATCACCAGACGTCTCTATCAGCAGTTTTCTTTCTGGCTTTGTTCCATTCCAGTCCGTAGAGGGGGTTATGTTCAAAACCTTATTGTTGAGATTTTAAAAAAATATAATAATAATAATAACCTGGATAGCAAGATTTAGCCAGTTTAAGTATAGGCACCAGGAAATATTCTGGGAAGTAAATGTGACCAGCAAAATATTGACTCCAACACCTGTAAAATGTTCATTTGTTTAGAAGAAATAATAGTTTAGCACCACACATTCAGTATGCCTCATTGTGTGGATACTGTTTCCTTGACTTGCTTATTTGTAGAAGCAGTGTTAGCATTTTGATACCCCAAGCCTTTGGGTGAATAAGTGTTTTTTGTCTCATAAACCTCTTATTATTATAGTCCCTACCATATGGCATTGGTAGTCGTGTCTATCCACAGACTTCTGTCCTGTATACTTTCAGTCAGTTCTGACAGATGATCTTCTATGCCGTGATGTAAAACTGCCAACATCCTCCGCTCGGTCTCCCTCTTTTCTTATTCCAGTTTTCTCCTCTTCATGGCAGGACCAAAGAATGCAGATTGTCTCATTCTGAGGGGCAATCAGTTCTCTTCATGAGTTAGTTTCTTTCAAGACATCTTCATAACTTTTTTTTTTTTTTTCAAATCTGTCCAGGGTAATCTTTTCATTCATCTATAAAACCAAATCTTTGCTTCCAATAATTTTTCACTAATCTCCCAACTGTCTGAGATTTTATTCCATATATCAGAATATGATTTATATAGCCCTTGAAGATTCTCTTTCTCACCTCATTTGCATAAAATCTGTTTCATATTGTGAAAGGATGCCTTTTCCTGATGTCTTATAATATTATAAAATGGTATGTATTTTATGACTTGTTTGTATTCACTTTTTGTATTTGATGGTGCTTGGTTTGTTGGGTTTAAAGTCAGCTGCAAGCAGTTCAGTAGCAAACCACTTTGCATTGACTTTGACAATGGTTTGAATGTTGCGCCATTCAGAAAGCAGTAGCAAACTATTGAGTGTAAAATCGCCTGGGGAAAAAACCACACTACAGCCAGTAAATGTGGATGTTGGGTTTGCAAAGTCCTGAGAAGGATCAACAGTTAACTTTTATTTTTAAAAATTCCTTTTAATTTTACTTAACTACCGACATATTATTGAAAAGAAATAATAAACATCGTAAAGAAATTACAGTTTCGGCTATGTTAATTAACAGTTGTGTCTTGCATGTTGAAAAAATAGTTATTTGTACATTTTCTCATCTGAACATATAGAAACAAATGTAGGCTCTAAGCGCCATTTGCCATCAAGTTCAGAAGTTTCTGCCAAACGAGTGAAACTAGAGCCTGGCGTTGTTGTTGAAAGTCAGGTAGAATATCTTTGTTTGCACACTTAATGTTTTAATAGTTTTAAAGTCAGGTAGAATATCTTTGTTTGCACACTTAATGTTTTAATAGTTTTAAAGTCAGGTAGAATATCTTTGTTTACACACTTAATGTTTTAATAGTTTTAAAAACAAGTGCATGAAATAAAATGCGACATATTGGCCAGATTTATGTGTTCTGGAAATGAGTAAATAATAGTCAGCAGGAAACATCAAGAATAACAGTAAATATCTCACCGCCTTGAAATATAATAACATATCTCAGGCTCAGAGTTTGCCATGCTGAATCTCAGCGTAGAGCTGAGAATTGTAGAAGCACTGGGTTCTTGTTTTTCTGCATTCATCAGACAATGTAGTTGTGTTGTGCCTGGTTACAGCATAGCTGCAATTTGTGCACCTTTCACCTGATACATCCAACTACAGGCATTTGTTGCACAGGTTAGCCAGCTGGGACATTGGATTCTTATACCACACATCTCTTACAGCTTTTTTAGTAAGATTGGATGCTAATCTTTTCAGAGGTTTTGAACAACGGATCAACATGGCACACGGGTGTAACCCATAAGTGCTCCGTTCTTCCTCTAACTCAAGTCTGAGTCAGAAGAAGCTCAGCACAGTGCACAGGCTCTGTAGCACCGGCGAGGATCCTGAAATACTTTGGGTAGATTTTGAACTCAAAATTTTGCCCGGGCAGCGCCGTTAGGCTACTCTTTTCGATTTCCAACTGCCAAGGGATTTTTTTACATGTGCAACAATGCACACAGGTGTCCGATCTCACTACCCAGAGACCAGAGGGAATTACTAGAAGTCCAACTCCACTTGAAGAAATCCCAGCTCTTAATGGTAATTGAACCCGGAACCTCTAGCACTCCAAGCAGACACCATGCAGCCCCTCAATCTTTTCAGATAAAGGGTGCAAAACAGGAGACGCTTTGTGCAAGTTAAGCATTTTAAATCCAAAGAGTAATATAACAATATCATTCTGGCACCATATACCTATTCTTCTTCTTCTTTGCGTTCACCAGCTGTACACTCTGGCGGAAAGTTCTGGTTGCTCGTCCATTACTGAACTGCAGTCCTGCTCCAGAACCTGAGTGTTGCTTGTGCATCAGTTTTACAGATCTCATTCTCTTGAATACAGACTGTTGGTTCCTTGCCTCTCCGGTAGATGCACTCCGACTTCAAAGGAAGCTCCCCAATTAGTCGACTCTTACGACATGCTTTTTGGGAGGCAGTGGGTCTATTCTTGTTTTCCCCACAATGGGGCCCCGGAACCCACACGGGGGCATATACCTATTATTCATCAAGGCATGGAGAAGGATGAAAATAGGTAATACAGTTATGTCATAGAAGATCACCATTATTAAGTGCCATCTCCACACTGAAGGTTGGCTGCAAGTTTCTGTCTAGTGTCTTCACATCTCTATAATACTTTCTGGGGGGGGGGGGGAGGTAAAATTAAACGATAGATCTTTGAACTTGGTTCCTTCATTAGATAAACACGTTTGCTATGCATCAAGTGGTCCTCCTTACAAAGCTAAAAAAAAAGTGGAAGTTGAATTTAACATTGATGGTGATGTATTTACCTTAACCTTTTGTTCTCAGAGAATAGACGAAGACCCTCATTACAAACACATCTGTCTTTGATGCTTATGAATAAGTGAATGAGATGGAAAAAGCTCGACTGGCAAAGCAGATACTCTTGTTTTGACATGTTTCTTCTGGCTTTGATTGTAGGTAACACCAGCAAATCAGAACGAAGGACCTGGTCAATGGTGTGTTAATACACATCAGTTCCATCACCATTTCCGTGATCAAGCCATTGTTGCTGCTGTAGCCAGACATATCGACCAGGTTAGTTATTTCCTATTCTCAAAGTTTGCATCGCTTTATTTGGTAATTTTGGGAACTGCTGTCGTGAAGCGGCTAGATGCTCATCTGCGGATCCAAAGATCAGGAGTTCAAATCTGAATGGTGCTCTATATGCCCCAAACGCCTGAGGGCATGGAAAAGGGTCCTTTAGTTAAATTTAAAACTATACCTATATCATCATCGCCATATATCTGATTCATTACTTCCTTAGTCTTTTGCCTTCTTTATTCAGTCAATTATAAATTTTTTGTATAAAACTGTCTAATGTTAGCCTGAAATAAGTAAAGAAAGGAGCAGTCAGTTTGAATTTGTTTTAGTCTCCATATTTGGCCTTTAAAAAGTATACATGTAGGCCAAAATAATTGTTCGTGATAATTAAACAAAAGGATTTCACCCTAATCTCTCTTGAGTAGATTGTTATTTATTCATTTCAAGGACTTGGTAATGCTCTTCATCTTTCTGCAGGCAAAGTCATATCTCAGAGTAGCTGCGGACAAGAGGCACCTCCTGCATGAAGCCCTGGATAGAGCTAAGGGTCACAGATTTAAAAGAGGAAAGTCTTGGATGGGGCAAGCTGAAGACACTATTCGGCATGTGTGCAGACTTGATAAATTTAGACGAGGAGAGGAGTGGGTCAAGGTTTCTGATCATGTTTTAGATTTGTTTAGGGTTCTAATCACTTTGGGACGTGAGTGCAGGGACTGGCCAGCTCGTGCTGCAGAATCAGAAGTTCAACAAATGATTCATGACAATTCCCGCCCAAGTGATGTGATTGTATATACAGATGGCTTTGTGGTGAAGGGCAGGCGAAGGGCATGGGGGTTCATAGCGAAGACCAATGGACATCGCTTGGCGCAACAAAGCCTGACATATGATATCACGTCTAGTTTGAGAATGGAGGTGGAGGCAGTCGCTGCTGCCTTCCATTGGCTTGAGAATCAGCTGTACACACATGTCGTCATTGAAACTGACTCACAGAGCATGCTGACAAAGGTGGAGACAGGCATGCTCCGTGCAGAGTGGCAAGCATCACTTCAGAGGTCCCGGGTAGTTAGCATCCTTTGGATATTATCTCCAGGTCAGGCCGATGTGTTGGGAAATGAGCATGCAGATAGACTGGCCGTTTCTGCACCACTTGGTGGTGAACTGATAAATGACAAGCTGGATGTTGTGAGGGCCCTTTGGGAGCGCGTGAACAGTGCCGAGAAACAGATAGATCATTACGGTCTGAGGAGAATAGCACTGCAAGGAGTTACAAGGGGATCTAGCCGACGCTCGAAACTCAGGGGAGGGGCGAGACGGATATACAATCAGACTGTTACGGTACCATCAGAATTTTAACTCTGTGCTTGCTGCTGAAGATGGGGACGGAGTGCTTATGGGAGTGTCCCGAGTGCTGTGATGTCGATTCTTAATTCAACATATTTTTCTTATGACCCGCTCACTCTGGCTCCCAATTATTTATTTGGGTCATACTAGTTTATATATGTGTTTTGTTTGCAAACATTGTAAACATTACTACTCCCTCGACACTTCGATGAGGTACAAGGTGGAAGAGAAGAAAAAGAAGAAGAAACATTACTACACACAATGTGATTTATGACATTGTTATTGTTTTTTTTTTTTTTTACAGTCTGATTTTGGCAGCCATATGCGATTCTCATGAAAATGCTGACATGGTGTATCTTGTCTTTGAATCCACACATCTGAAAGCTGAATGTGTTTTAATGGATTTTTTTTTTTATGGGCTCAGATTTGACAATTTGCTTTTTTTTTTTCTTTCTTAATTCAGAAGGCAGCAGAGGTGGTCAGGACTATGTTGAGACTAAGTGAGACCAGAACTGTACCAACATCTTCAGAGAGTATTCCTCTTTCTTTTACAGAGGTTAGAAAGAGATGCAGCTTATAATTCTTGTTTCTTGAATTACACATTTCATCCTGCATTTGTTTAATTATCTATTATATTATTGTACGATGATGGGCAGATTGTCAGAATTAGCTTTATAACTTTTTAATCTGTGTAACTAAAACCAGGAACTGTAGAAAGACCATGTGTTTAATTTTGACGCAAAAATTCGGGTTTTTAAAGGTTCAGATATTTATATGTTCACCTCTTCTAGGGGATCTGGTAGAGCAAGTATGACAAACTGAGGGTCCGCCCGAGGGCCATATAGGTCACATTTGTGTTGTGACAAATAATTGATGTAATTTATTACAAAATCATTAGCTTATGTATCGCTTTGTGTGGGCCGCAGGTGTGCTTGCAAAGGGCAGCATGTTTGACATGCCTGGGCTAGTAAAGTATATAATACTTGTGAAGGAAACTGATAACTCATGCCTAATCCCAAGTGTATGTATTGTATTGAACCTTTCCATGAGGGTTCCAGGACCCTGTTTTGAGAGGAAAAGAATTTAATCACTGACACCACAACATGCAGTCGTAAAAGACGACTTATTAGGGGTATAACTTTCAAAGTGGGAGTGCGTCTGCTTGTGAGGCAAGCAACCAAAAATTCTGCATGCAAATAAGCTAGACCTGTAAAATTATGTGCATACAAAACTCAAAGTTCAGAAACAAGACCAAAGTCCAGAAGTGGATGAGCAATCAGGACTTTCCGCCAGGAGTTTACAGCCAGGGAACACTAAGAAGAAGAGTGCTGAACCATGTGCTGGTCACATCTCAGCCCGCCTCTCGGCAGATAATTTCAGCAGTGGTCTTGCACATCAGACTAGTTTCTGAACTTGGAGAGGGGATAGACAAGCTCTGCAACACAGTCCTCATAGAGTTACCCTACCAGGAGGAAAATCTAGGTACCCATGTCCTTACGTCTATGGTACATGGACCACTGCCAGTCTGCAGAAATTCCTATCTGATCATCATTTTTTTTTTAAACATGTCTACGTTTGTTCCTATGTTAGCCTTCAGCTGGTCCACAAAATATTTCTTCCATCTTCCCCAGTCCTTAGTTGTAAAAGTATTGAAAACTGCTGCTCTACGCCAGCCTCTTTCTGGTGGGTGCAAACAAGACAGTCTCAGTGTCAAATCAGAAATTAATAATCAGTCATCTAGGGGATTCATACTGAACTACCTAAATTTTCATCCTTGTTACTAATAATAAATAATTTTGTTGTATACATTTATGGAAGAAGACTGTTAAAGAAAACATCAGAATAACAAATTGTCTGCTGATACTGGAAACAATGACAGAATAAAAAAAAGCAAAGCAAATACACAAAGATAGAAAACAGAAGGGCAGAAAGCAACATGATGAAACTTTTAAAGAAATTAACAGACACATTTTTATATAAAACATGGGTGAAAATTAGCTCTTCTTCCCAGATTACTGCAAAGTGGTTAGTTGGTGGGAGAAGCACGGTGAGATGTTATAGTTGTGATAAGATTACACATAAGATGCAACAGTTGGGTCTCTGTTAATTTCTACCTTTATATTTTCTTTGGCCATGCTCATGTTATTTCAGAATGTAAAATATCTCGATGCTCTACTAGAGACAAAAACAAACATATGACATTTTTTAATGAAGAATATTGCGAATGCCCAAACAGTTTTCTTTCGAGGTTTTTTAATGATATGAGTTAAATTCAAAACTTTGTCGTTTGCAGATTTATAGTGCTCTGCCAAAAGACAAACAAATACAGAAGAATACTTTGGACCAGTATTTGAAATGCCTGTCGGAAAATTGTGTAAGTTTCTAGCATGGTAATCTATACCTGTTTATTGTATGTATGTATGTATGTAAGTTGTACCCCACCAGGACATCACACAAAGCGATAGACACCCGGTGCCACCAAGCGGATGAGGATCACCTGTGGTCCCAAAAGCCTATTTCAGCCGCTAGACCATATTTCAGGTATCGCTATATTCATGGGGCCTGCCAAAAGCCAGGGTGGGGCTTCAAATAACGAAAAATTGCATCCTACTTGGGGATGACTACAATAAAACTACCTGTTTATTTTTTACTATCATATCTCAGTGTGGCAGAAGTATATTGGTGAAAACAAATAACAATCTCATTTTCTGCACAGCTGCAAAATTGTACCAGTCATTAATAAGTCTACAAAGGAATTAGTATGGTTTGGTTGAATGAATGAACCAAGAATTGACGTCACTGTACTTGGAGCGTTCTCATACATACATACAGACAGACATACATACACACCCCTGCACACAGTTCTGTGATGGTGTTACATTTATATGGCTGGTGTGTGCTGGAGCAGTTTTTGTTCAGGGTAATCATTAAATGTGAATGCTGCAAAGTGTACATGCCAGAAGAGCTGACTGTTAATCAGGTGAACATTATTTAATTATTACACTGTGCACATGGGCTCCCTTAGTTCATTATTGTTACAGCAGGGCAGAGCTTTCCAAACTTTATGGCACACATTTTAAGCAGATAATATTAAGTCATTCATTTTTATATTAATTCCCTCTACTAACAAACCAGAGATTAACCCCTTAAAAGAGATAGAGACACGTTGATAAATTATGTTTGCACGACACACTGTTGTATCACAGCATAATTTGGGAAGCTGTGCAGTAGAGATTGAACTACACCATGCAGGCTGATGTGTAGCATAAAAAATAGATCACACAGTTTATTGCCTGGCATTTTTGCTGTATCTTGTCAGAAGTGTCCTAAAGAAAGAAAGAAAAAGAGCTTTTCTATTCACTTTTGGTTACTTCTTCTTTTACGTTCACCTAAAGATGTAAATGTACTGTGCTTATTTACGCCTTTCAGATAACACATCCAACTTCTGCAGGCATTTCTTGCCCATATTAGCCTTTCCGGTAATTTAGGTTTTTAATGATATTTTAGAAAGTGAGCCGTATGTTCTAATTTGTTATCACTTACTATTTTTCAGTCAAGTTTTATGACAAAAATCGGAGAAAGCGGTGGAGGAGTGTATCAAATAAGTATCCTTGTTGAAAGATTTGTTGTTGCATTAAGTTATGATTACAAGAATAATTGTTGTGTGGTTATATGTAATTTTTTTTTTCTATTGAAATAGTAAATTAGTTACGAATAAAGTGAAGCAAAGGGTAAAGGATACTTTTCCACGCCTTCAGACATATTGGGCACATAGGGCTTGACCTGATACCCACTCAAGGCTGGGTCAACCTGGGAGCCAAGGTCATTAGAAAAAAAGCCTGGTTCCACCAGGAGCTGAACCCATGACCTTCCAGTCCACAGGCAAGTGTCTAGCCGCTACACCACTTATGAGGTGCATTTTTTAAGTAAGTCCCGGTATTTACTTTTTAAAAAAAAATATCATATATAGAAATTATTTATTGCAGCCAAAAGTGAGCCACACATTAACATTATTTCTCAACATGGTCACCGCTGACTTCATTCAACACATTTTTTGATATCGTGGCACCAGGTTCTTAACTCCAGTGTCATAGAAGTCTGCCGCCAGTGTCTTGAACCATTCATTAACGCCTGCCTGCAGTTTGTCATCAGTTTCAAACCCCTGGGATGCCAGATCAGGCTGTAGGGCAGGTGGTCAACAGTTTCCTTCGTCTCCTTTATTTTGATAGCGCTGCAAAAAGTTTGAGGTGAAACCAGGCGTTTTTGCTTGTTTTCATTGGTTAACATTTTCGGTATCCATCTGGCAGACAATTTGTTGTTTGTATCCAAGGTTTTTTTGTCACAGTGTCATAAATCGTTTGAAGTGAAACTTCAAAATTCGACAGACAACGTAGAAATTGTGAAATGATGATTTTCCTGAATTTATTTGGTTCATTTCTTTGACCAAATCGTCTGTCACCTCACTCGGCTGACTGCTACGTTCTTCATCATGGATAGTTGTTTACCCTTCTTTAAACATTCATTTTCTTACCTTACTATCAGTCACAACATCTGATCCATAAACCTCAGTGAGTTACTTGTGAATTTCTGCAGCAGTTTGTTTTCTTTCTGCTGACAGAAAAAAAAATGGACCACAGCACGAACCTCGCAGCTCTCTGGAGTATTCATTTTTGCACTCTTTATAAATCATTCATACGCAGCATCAAACAAGATTTTGATAGTGAAACAAAAGCACAAGCTAGCTAATGAACCACATAAACATACTGCCTATGCACTTTTACGTTTTCCATCATTGTTATGTTATTACAATCAATGTATTTGCACAGTGGGCATCCCCGTGCGTGCTCAGGCCTCCGATGCAGCAGCCACCCCAAGGTGCCTCTACTGATTGTTCCCATGAGGAGTTGGTTATAATATCTCTTGTCTTTACCTCAAAGACGACATAGGTGTGCTTCACCAAGCTTAACCCCTCTGTCACGCAGTTGTGTTAGCGAAAGAAATTCACTGTTATTCCCAAAACCACACAGACCCGACACTGTCATCTGTGAAAAAAAATTGAAACAGCTTGTGTTCCTTGCAAAGCTAACAGCATAAATAGATACTAAATTCATAAGGCAGCCACCAGAAGTGCCCTTGTAAATAGTCCATCACTAAAAACAGTTTATGGTTAATGGAAGTAGCAGTTACAGTAAAGCAGCAGTTGCAAATAGAATGTGGCATTGAGACACCAGTAGTTCTGAAACAGAGGGCCACCTTCCATTTTCTGAATCTGCAGTTCTCAACTCCAGCCACATTGAGTACAGTCCAGTGTTTCACACAAAATCCACAGCGCACTTTGTTGCACTATGAACTTAATGCAGAATTTGGGGCGTCTGAACATACTTTCAGTCCACATATAGTGTGAAATACAAAAGCAAATAATATGCCAAGAATGTAACAGTTGGCTTGCCTATCTAACACATTGAACTTAAAGTGGGTGGCTGTTAATTGTTAATAAAACTAGACACAAACAAAATTAGCTCCGCCACTGTAATGTAAGAGCCTGTATTAATGAATGTCTGCTGAATAGGTGGACTGGATGAAGAAGTAGCATATAATTTTCTCCTGTGTAATAAACATGGATTTCTGATAAATCACTGTGTGCAGACATTGTTTTGGGACTTCCTGTATGTTGTACTGCATTGCTTAGCTGTGATAACTTTATTTCCTCACTTTTGTTCCATTTTTTATTATACAATGTTTTATTAATTTAATTTGTACACGTGTATTACATTTTTTGTTTACTGTTACCATCGTTCAGTCTTTCAAATGTTCAATTGTTGGTGTACTTTAAACACAGATCACATAGTTATTGTTCAAGCAATTCCCTGATCTTTGTTCTTAGACATAAATGTTAATACATTATTTTATTATTGTAAATTACTGTCTCGCAATTAGTCTTGGGTACCAGGCCCCAATTTTAGAAAAAACAAAATAAATCCAGTCGACACCCCCCCCCCCCCCCTATTTTTTTTAACGGCCATAAAAGGTGACTAGTTAGGAGTTTACTAAAATCATGTATGTTGGGTCTAATGGCACAGATATCTCAGCCTTGCTGTAAGCCACAGCACAATTTGCCAACTACCCCTTCTAGGGCAGACGCAGAAGTTTTATTCTTTTAATTTTCAGGAAAATCTGAATTTGTGTTGCTTCTATGTATTTTTTCTAAGCAAATTTATTTCTTTAACTGAATAACAGATTTCATGAAAGCCATGAAAGCAATATGTGTGTCACAGATTGAAACAATAGTTCTTGAAAGGTCAGGAAAAGCACATTGTTGTCTTCACTAAGTTACTTGTAGTGAGCAGTTGTTGAAAGTAATTTTACTTATTTAGTCTCAAAGTTCACATAATCTGCCAAATTGATTGGCACCTGTCCGTCTTTCCAGACGATAGTGTTATATTGCGCTGTGGGGAGGCATGAGACTCACAGCCCATGGCAATGATGAGTGTGACGAGCCCGTGTCAAGAAAAGTCTTCCACAATGATAGCATGGGATTTCAGGATCATTGTTGTCAACATTGTATTTAATCCGTTTCTTTTCACACGCTCAGCTTTCATCCTTTCTGCAATCATTTCTTCCTTCACTCTCACTCCCTTCCTGATATGCCCTTTCCACGCAACACGGTCCATGGAACCGGCCAAATAGGGATCCTATAATAATCAGTAAATTTTCATAGAGTTAATATTAGGATGCTCCTCCTGTTATTGACAGAAAAATAAACCCACTACCTCTCTAGCATGTCGTAAGAGTGTTCTAATTAGGGGTGCTTCCTCTGAAGTCAGAGTGCATCTGCCTGAGAGGCAAGGAACCAACCATCTGCATACAAATCTGTAAAATGGATGTGCAGGCAACACTCAAGTTCTGGAGCAAGACCAAGGTCCAGGGGTGGATGAACAACCAGAACTTTCTGCTGGAGTTCAGGGCCTGTGAACATGAAAGTTGAAGGTTAAGAGCCGAGAGGATCGACTTCATTGCACTGGGTTTTATCCTTTATGGCTCGATCTCTCTCGGCAGAATGGCTTGCTGCCTGAGGAGAGCGCCGCTCAGAGCACGGACTCCGTAGCTCCACCGATGATTCCCAGAGATCTCCATAAAAATTACACTCGTGCACTGAAGGGCGCAGCCGTGGAACAAACCCACGACCTTCAGAGCGTTAGGCAATCAGTTGACCACTTCACCACAAAGTCATCGTACATGAAAAAGAAGAGGCATGTCGTAAAAGTCTACCACTTATGACATTTCCTTCAAAGTGGGAATGGGTCTGCATGAAGGGCAAGGAAACCAACAGTATGCATACAAATTAGCCAGATCTTTAAAATGGATATGCACGCAGCCTTGAAGAAGCGAAGAAAAAGGTATTTGCCTTGCAAATAATAAGCACACTTTTCTTAAATGCACTGTGGTTAGCCGAGAAGTACAATCACGCTTGGTACGATGATTGACAGTAAGGAAAGTATTGCCAATAATCTGTTTGTATTGTCCCCTCCTGGTTGCTGCCTGAAAGTTTAACTATCCCCAAGATATGAATCTCATACTGGATGTCAGACCAACAGAACAAATCTCAGATACCCTGTTCAACTACCAAAGAAGTTATAATTGGGATGCTCACAATGGCTACACCAGCCATGATGTAGCTGCAGTCTCGTACAGATGACAGATGTGGTTAAATTCTGTACCAGTCATGCCGTTGTTGATTGACTGGCATTCTTGATAGATGGCCGGTGACACATTATGTGTTACATAGAATAAAAAATGTTAGAATTATTTAAAAGTAAACGAGGTAGAAGACTACCAGTGCCACACAGCATGGACTTTAAGAAGAATCCAAAACATCAAATACTATTGACATTGACAAGTAATTGTGTTTTTATATTAATAATTCATTTATTGTACCTTCATCTTCTTTTCCTCCAGTTACCTCCTTAAAATGGTAAGAGGGTGTTGGGGAGATGTGAGGATATTCGGTGTGTTTCTTTTGATGTCTTACATTAATTGATCTTAAATTTGTTAGAGGTTGTTCTTGTTGCCGCCGGTTCATCTTTTGCGTGATCTTCTCCTTGCTCTGTGTTCATTATAATTTTGTAATGTGGTTCAGATCAGATTTTTTTTTTCTCAGCATTTCTTGGTTCCCAGCCTTAACTGGGGGACCACAGCTTAAGAAAATGTAAATTTGTTACATTATTAATAAATCTGTAAATGTATACAAACCAGGTTTGGATCAAAAGGTCTGCGTATGTTTAGAGTACTGCTAGCAGACAAACAAGTGGAACATAAACAGGTCAGTTCATTTTCAATAAAAGTATCTGTGTGTGTGTGTGTGTTTTTTTTTAAAATAAATACTTGAAGCCATATTTTGAAATAATGTACTTGTTCTATTTTCTTCTTCTTCAGCATTCTGAACCCTTGAGGTTCATTGCTGCAGATATTGCCCGCCTCCATTCATCTCGATGTTAGTCCTTTTTCCTGTTGGTGATTCCATGTGTTTGCAGGTCGCCTGTATATTTTCTCTTCATTATCTTCTTGGTATGCCTCGAAGTCTACAGCCATTCATCTCTCTTGTGTACACAGTTGTTACCTGTCACCTGATATTCTCTCAATATGCCCCAGCCATTTGAGTCTATTAGCCCTCATGATGCTGTGATCAGTGGTGATTTCAACAGATTATGAATTCTCGTGTTGCTTCTCACTCTCTATTCCCCACTGATTACATCTTCGATGGGTCCAAAAGATTTCAACATTTGTAATAAGTTCTAATATCTATAGAAACTAATTCTTGCTGAATACTAAATGTATTATCTTCATCATTTGTATTCTCTTCTATGCCCGTTATCCCTCAATGGATCAGGCACCATATGATAAACAGTACACATGAAGGCAGGGACACATGTCTGTTACTTCACAGTTGTGTAAAGGACTGGGTTTACACTAGTGGCACATCTCTCAACGCAGGGACACATGTTTGTTACTTGACAGTTGTGTAAAGGACTGGGTTTACACTAGTGGCACATCTCTCAACGCAGGGACACAGGTCTGTTACTTCACAGTTGTGTAAAGGACTGGGTTTACACTAGTGGCACATCTCTGAACGCATGGACACATGTCTGTTACTTTACAGTTGTGTAAAGGACTGGGTTTACACTAGTGGCACATCTCTGAAGGCATGGACACGGGTCTGTTACTTTACAGTTGTGTAAAGGACTACTTTACATCAGTTGTGTATCTGGCATGTGATGCTAGATTCCCATTTTTGTAGGCCATGTGGCACTAGGTGGGTAAAGTGTTCATCATAATGCTAGCTGATTATACTTCCCAGGGCTTTACCTGTTACACATTGTAAGCTGGCTGACTCAAAACCTAAGACCTTTGGAACGGGAGGCAGGGCTTTTTTTGTTTATACCTGTGTGCAGTACTGCCACTTTTTCCCCACAGGATTACCGTAATAAACACTCTTTGGTGGGTACCAGGATCATTTTAGACACTGTGTGGTTAGTACCGGCACTTTACATCCATGCATGTACTACACAAGCAAATATACCACACTGCACAGTTAAAGACTGCCTTACTGCCATAATTGTTTTCCCTTTCCCATTTCTTTTCCAAACTGTTTTGAATAATTTGTTCATATTGCAGATTGATGAAAGAGCTATGCTGCCTCCAAAAGAAGCCAAAGAGATACTATTTAAGATGTTTGATGAGAATTTCATAACCATGACAGTAAGCTAATGTAGTTACTTAAAATACTGTTGTAAATATATTTTATCAGAGGCAATGTATTGACACAAGTGATCATGTGTGTTATGTCAGTTCATTTATTGAAGAAATGTGCAGTGTTGTTTTACAGAATGTTTATTACATTCACATTACAGTTTTTCTTCTTTGCGTTCACCAGCTGTAAACTCTGGTGGAAAGTTCTGGTTGTTCGTCCACATCTGGACTGCAGTCTTGTTCCAGAACCTGAGTGTTGTGTGCGCACCTATTTGACAGATCTGACACATTTGTGTGCAGATTGTTGGTTGCTTGCCTCTCAGGCAGATGCATTCTGACTTCGAAGGAACTTTACAGTTAAACACAGTAGTTTGCTTTCTATTATTTTTACATGATTGCTAATAGCCAGGGCTTTTTTCTGGCGGCACACAACGGTTTGCAGTACTGGCCCCAATTTTAAACAATTTTGTGTCCACTGTTACTGTAATAAACACTGAATGGTGAGTGTCTGCAACCTTTTTTTTAAAGACACTTTGTGGTGAGTACTGGCATCTTTGTTTCTAGAAAAAAGCTCTGCACTTGTGCTCTTTTCGTTTAGAGATGCTTGTGATTGGGCCTATAAATGTCTGTATCAAATGTGTAAGTAAAAGTAAAGGACCCCTTTGACACCAGTAGAGAATAGTCCTATTAGGCTAGCCTCATATTTTTATAGACCAGTTAGCACTTGATGGGTGATGGTCAACATCACTCTAACCACCTTTACTTCCCAGGATATTTTGCTGGTATCCATTTTTTGGGCTGGGTTGACCCAGGAGCTAAGTTCTTTTTTTTCTTTCCTCAAATCCATGCAGTGCATATTCAAACCCAAAATCTTCAACCCTGCAGGCGAGCATCTAGCCACTACACTATCGCAGCTGCCATAGTTTGTGTACACATATTAAACATGTCATACTTAAGTAGAATACTTGGCATTAAGTGGCAAGACAAGATCACAAACACTGAGGTATTGGAAAGAACAGGTATCACAACAGTTTTCTCAATGCTCAGTCTCCCAAGGCTGAGGTGCCTGGGTTACAATTGGAGGATGGTAGATTCCCTAAGGACGTCCTCTATGGTGAATTACAGATGGCTAGAAGATGTCAAGGTCAGCCATTTCTGTAATTTAAAAATGACTTCAATGATACAGGTATTGAGGTAGATACGCAGGAACAAAATGCAGTTAACTATGATGCATGAAGAGGGCAAATCTGGAAGGGAGTAGGAAGAAAGAAAGAAGTTCCAGAAAGGTTGAGAGCTGAGCATCTGAAAAGACGCACACTAAATACATGCGGAGGCAACAACGGTTCTGCAATCCCAAGCTGTAATTGTGGAGACTTTTCTTAATGTGTGCAGGTCTTGTTATTCGCACTTGCCAGTGCTATGGGCTGTGATTATCATGCCTCCCCGTAGCAAAGTAAAGCATAAAAACACTATCATCTGGAAAGACTGAAAGGTGCCAGCGAATTAAACATATATATATTTCATAAGGTCGGCTCTGTGGCTAAGTCGATGCGAACGCTTCGTAATGCCGGGGTGCCAAGTTCAATCCCAGCTGCGAACATGCGCCTTGCGTTGGTTTCGACAGTGGTATCAAGAAAGCAATGGCAAACTACTGGACGTAAATTTGCCTAGAAAAACCACACAACAGCCAGGGGCTGTTGGGGTTGGTTCTGTAACGTCCTGTAAAGGATACACAACTAACCTTTATATTTCATAACAGGAGCTATCAAAGACACCAGATCATGTGCCTGCCCGGACATTTTACTTCTTTAATGTCAATTTGGTCCAGCTTTCAAGAATGCTACTAGAAAAATGCTGCAAGGTATGTTACTTGTTATTATTTCATTTTACAGATAGATTAATTATTTTTAAAAATCATTTGTGTGTAGAGGGGATACCATCCCCCCCCCCCCTTCTCCCTCCCCCACCCCACAGTGAAGGCATTCAAAATTATTTTTTTATTAGTTAATTTTAATTAATCTTGGAATTAGTTCAGTAATTTTATAAGCACTTTTAAAATTTTATTTTTCATACATTAAGCCACTGAATTTGTTTTGATTTCATATAGTCTAGTATCCTGTGGCGCTATCTTGCATTTGTGTGTGGGCTTTAAAGCACAAATACTTTTTCTTCCATTAGGCAGCAGCAAATGTGATGATCAGAAGACAGAAGTGCATCTCCGATAACAAGTAAGCAGAATCCTTTTTATTTGCGACTCTGATACAAGAGGACAAAGGGATACAAGGATTGACTTCATTGCACATGATTTTATCCCATCTGGTTCAGTCTTTCTGCAGGGCAGGCTTTCTGTAGCACCATCAGTATGGGAATTCTGCGTTGGCAACCAAAGAAAGGCATGCAGTGACAGAATATCCGAAGTCCTCGTGTGGGTTCTGTGGCCCCATTGAAGATGTCCCTGCCCCAGCCCCCCCCCCCCCCCCCCCCTTTCCGCCCCAACAAGCATGTGTAAAATTTGACCAATTAGGAGTGTTTCCTTCAAAGTTGGAGTGCATCTGATTGAGAGGCAAGGAACCAACATATAAGCCGTATGTGCACGTAAAACTCAAGTTCTAGAATAAAGTCCAGAAGTGCACGAACAAGCAGAACTTGTTGCCAGAGTTTACAGTCAGTGGAGTTGAAGAATTAATATCCCCAGTGGCTGATGCAGTTCTTGACTTATTCATTCTGACCAACTCATGTTGATTGAAACTGATGAGGGAAAGGAAGATGTTAAATGAGGAATGGGAACTAAAACACAGCCGCTAATATAACTGCAGCAAAGATTACAGAAAATTATTGCATGTGATGTGTAACATGTTAGGCCTCCCTGGAACCAGTTCACTGCCAGTCTCTCCTGTAACCAGCACCAGAACTGGTGTCCATTTTATGAGGTCAGATACAAAACTCACAGCAGTATATAGTCAAGTCTGGATAAGTAGAAAATGCTTCCACTTATCAGGACTTCTACTTATCCAGACAGCACATACAGTAGAGAAAATTGCCGGGACTAAGATGGTCATGTCAACTGAACCGAAATTCGACTTATCCAAGTTCGACTTAAGTGGACTCGACTGTACACCTCTGGTGATATCTTTTTTATTGGCGATTAAACTCACAGTCCACTACGTTGGTGTGAACTTATACTGTCTACCACAATGTAAACCCACATAGTTAGTGGTAACTTGAGCCTTTCCTTTGCTGCAGTTTCATAATTCAAAAAATGTAAAACAAAGAGGAGGACACCTCCTTCTCACGTGTACGCAGACTCCAAAGTGAGTACACAAACACAGAAAAAGAAAAGGAAGGACAAAAAAAGGGCGGGTGGGGTTTTGTTACTTAAGATTATGTGGGTTTTTTTCTTGTCATTTACTTGTTCAGTGAATGTTTGCAAATTTATGCTTCATGTTGGGTTTTTTTTAAATCTCTTGCTGGTTTTAAAGAGGATCCCTTTCACTGCTGTAAAAGATCCCCCCACCCCCCTGCTCTGTCATCTCTTATAGTTTACATAAGGTGAAACTCAACTTACTTTGTTATGTTGTCACACAATCAACATCACTGCAAGCTGGGCACTTCCATGCATGCTCAGTCTACCAATGTACCAGCCACTGATTGTTTCCATGAGAAGTTGGTTTTCATGACTCGGCCTCAAATATGGCATAGACATGTTTCAGCAAACTTTAGTCCAAGGTCATGCAGTAGTGTTAGCATCAGAGATTCGTCACTTTCCACAGCCAGTTTTGTACCCCTGGCATACACAAATGCTTGCTTTTTTGTGTGAGAAACTGCTTTATTTGGGGGTGGGGGGATGTCCCCACTATATGTGCACTCTCTTGTCTTTTTTTTGTTTTTTTTCTCCTGCAGGCGTTTACTTGACAAACAAGACAGAGTAGAGGCCATTATAGCCAACCTTGTAGCAGAAGGAGCCACAGAACAGAAAGAGGAAATTGAGCAAATGGTCACACCCAGCGAGAGAGTACAGCTGCAAAAAGTGGGAGAGGCCACAAAAATGTTTGTAGAAATGTGTCTTTTATAACGGATGTCTTGTTTGCTACAGAATCAATTCATTATTTTTGTATTTTATGCTAACTTCTATTTCTTGCTTCAAATTTACACTATGTTTGTTTTGAAAATTCTTACACTCAAAGATCAAAAAGATAGAACAATTTTGAAATTGACCAGATCTCAACGTAGAGGGAAAAATGGCTCTCATACACAGCATTATGAGTTTTTTCTTCTTCATGTTCATATTCTTCTGGACTCTAGCCTTGTTTAAAATCCTGTGTATTGCGTGCACATCCATTTTACAGACCTTGCTTTTTTGTATGCAGACTGTTGGTTCCTTGACATTCAGACAGACACATTCTGACTCTGAAACCTTACTTGTGTATTCTTTAGAGGGCGTTGAAGACTCACCTTAGCATTTGTTGGCTGTATTTGATTATACTAGGCAATTGTTTAGTAGTGCGCTATTGCTTTTTAAAATTAGAACAGAGTGTCTTGAAATTACAGACTGCATTCACAACACATGAGTTGCAGAGGTGTAGCGGCATGACGCTCGCCCGAGGATCAAAAGGTTGTGAGTTCAGGTCCTGACAAAGCCGGCCTTTTTTTTAATGACCTTGACCCAGCTTGAGTAGATACCAGGTGTAGTCCTTGGAAGTAAAGGCGGCCAGCGTGGTGCTGATCACATCACCCAGCAAGTGCCGATTGGTCTATAAAATATAGGTCTAGCCCTATATGCCCAGTTTGCCTGGAGGGTTGGAAAAGGGTCCACAAATGCTGATATGTTCTGTTAGTTACACTCAATTCCTATTAATGTGATAAACTTGTAATGACTGGCAGTGATCCTGGGTACAGTGATGTGCAAACAGTTTACATATAGAGAAAATAAAACTGACACTCCCTGCCAGACTGAAAGAATAGTTAGAGCTTTAGAAGTATTTGACTATCATGGCTATGTGTAGTGCGTTCAAGAATGAGTCATGAAAATCCAGTGTCTCATAAAAAGGTGTCTAGATCTGGAAAAGACAAATGAGACATATAGAGGGAGCAATCACTCCACTTATAAATCTCTGACCCTAGTATATATGTAGTTTCCAGGATTTAACAACTGTACCATGCCTGCAATACATAAAGAAGCAACAAATAGAGTGGTTTTTCCACTTGATGCGAATGCAAACCGACCAACTGCCTCTACGAGCATACAACGAACAGCACTACTGCCCTAGAGCAAGAGGCAGACCGAGAGTACGATGGATAGACAATATATCAGAGATCCTGAAGCAACACGGACTAACAACAACACGTGCAACACACCTGGCCCAGGATAGAAAACTGCGACTCCCCACTACGCTGTGAGGCAATTGTGGACAAGACAAGACAAGACCCCAGATATGCTATTAGATCACTTTTAACTGTTCTTATTTAACAACTGTACCTCAGATATGCTATAAGATCAATTTTAACAGTTCTTATTTAACAAATGTACCTCAGATATGCTATAAGACCAGTCTTAACAGTTCTTTTCCCATTAGTTTGCACATACTGGGAATGGACAGTAATTATTCTTTGTTCACTTTTTCAGGTTGGAGCAATCTGCAATCCAGCTCGACAACACAATATTTATCTTAGAAAGCTTCTTGAATTACATGGTGCAACCACCGCCTCCACCCAAAAAATAACAAATGTATTTTACCACTAAAATACATGTTATACATAACTGTTTATTAAAATGCCCGAGAGTCCGAACGTCTATAGTATAGCACTTCATATAAGTGTAGTCCAGTATGACGCCAGTGTTGTGTCAAAAGAGATTCATAAATTTTTGTTTATGATCTTGTTTTATTTGTATGCACAAAGAAAGAAGGTTTAGTGGGGCGGTATGGGGGGGGGGGGGGTGAATTGAATCTTAACAAGAATGTTACCAAAAATGATTAATTAAGGCATTGCTAAAATTAGATGTATCGGGCCAAAAGACGCAGATAGCGCATCTTAGCTGTAAATCAATGAGCCGCCCACCCTTTTAACCCATTTGCCTCAAAAAGGCGCGAAAACAACATTCCGGTTGGGTCTGATTCTCCATTAAATGTCACTTCTTCTACTTGTCTACAGTGACAAGTTTATGAGGTGCATAACTAATGCTACTTTTTAAATGGCAAGTTTTTTTTTTTTTTTTTTTAAGGATGTGGGGGGGGGGGGGGGGGGGGGGGGGGGGGGGGGGGGGGTTGAGATCCTTTGAGCCATACATTTTGAGGTAACGTCCAATTACAGAAGTGTCTTAATTAGTCACTTTTGTCAACATGTTTGTTAAGAGTCTGTGAGCTAATTCCTCAGTGGGGTCACATTTATTTGTAGTGTTCCCGAAGATGAGATGGTTAATGGCGAATGCAGAAGAATAGAATGATGGAGTGTTTCTCAACATCTGAATCAATTATTCGCTGGTGATTTTTATTAAATTATAATCAAGGATCACATACTCTCTAACCCTAGGGTAGTGGGCCAGACAGCAAGTCTTCTCATGTAAAAATATAGGAATACCTGTGCGCACACTTCTTCTATCTCCCAATGGAGCTAATGCCCTCAACTAACTCACGCTAAGTCGTTATATCCTTCACTATTGTAGGCAGCTTTTGCCATGTCTTTCCCATCTTTTTAACTTCACTCTCTAGCTCCCTTTGCCGTGTTCTTTTTTGGTCTACCTTTATTTCTGTGCCCCTGTGGGTTCCAGCGCAAAGACATTCTAGTTATATTGTTCTCAGGTTTTGTCAGCATGTGTCATGTCCAATGCTAGCGTCTTTTCTTCACCTCTTGGTACACTGGAACTTGTTTAGTTCTTTCGGTGGCGAAGTGGTCAAGCCGTTTGCCTCGTGGATACATTTCATGGCTGCGCCATTCAGTTCATGAGTTCAGTTTTTACGGAGATCCTGGGGATCGTCGCCGCAGCTATGGAGTACATGCTGTGTGCTGCACTCTTGGCAGGCGACCAGCTGTTCTGGGGAGAGAGACCGAGCCAAATGGGATAAAACCCGGTGCAATGAAGTCAATCCTCTCGACTTTAACTTTTCTCTCCCGTAAAACTCAACGTTTAATTCCCTCTATTCTGCCCAAGAACCAGTTATTGTATGGTTATAGTTTTAATAGTAATTGCTCTCCATGTCTCTGCTCCATACAACACACCTGCACATGTTAAGAATTCTTTGCTGACTAGAATTTACAAATATGCAGAAACAGCTATCCAGCTAATTTGTTTTCATATTTTTTTTTTTATGTTCAAGATTTTAATATCATTTGTGTTCAAAATTGAGTCAATACTGTTTAGTGCTCAGAAAATTTTAATTCTTAATGATAATAATAGTCTATGGCTAAGCGAGAAAGATTTGAGAGCATGCATCTTTCCTATAGTAACATACTACATGAAATAATATAATGTGTCATATACTATCTTGCAGTCACTAAGGAAACATTAGAGGCTTGTTTAGATGACATGTTTTAGAAAGATTCTCAGAATACCAGAAAAGAAACTGACATACTAAAAGATCTGAACATCCCGAAAGATTGGCTTGTCTCCTGCCCAAAACCATGTCGTAAGAGTCAACTAATTGGGAGCTTTCTTCGAAGTTGGAGTACATCTGCCTGAGAGGCAAGGAACCAACAGTCGGCATGCAAATAACAGACCTGTGAGATGGATGTACATGCAACATTCAGTTTCTGGAACAGGACTAGAGTCCAGAAGTGGACGAACAACCAGAACTTTTCCGCCAGCCGGCGCACATGAAGAAGAAGAAGATGAAGCTGAAATATTTTGGCCATATCAAACACCATAACAGATCAGAGAGCATAATATAAGAAGGCATGGTAATAGGGGAAATAGGGCCAGTGGCCAAACAGCATGAAAATGGGTACATGATATAAACAATAATGGAGGAGTATATACCTGGGAAGAGAGGAAGAGGAAGGCCAAAGAGAAGATGGGTGCAGGATCTGGTGGATGATCTCCAGATGGGTGTATCAGACACAGGATATTTTGCTTTTGATCAAGAAGTTTTCCAGAAGGTTGTTATGGGAGCAAGGTAAAATGCTACTGACTGACTGGCTGATATAAATGTCACCATGGTTGGGAAAGTGCATGAGGCGGGAAAGCTGGCAAGAGACCATGTGTCTTTCAGGCAGACTGTGATGAGAGCAACGTTCTGCAAAGGACCTGCTACACGGTGATGATGATGATGATGAATTACACTGGAATCAAGACATACACCAATCTAAAGTGACAAAAAATAATTCTTGCCCTAAATTTTACACACACACACACACAACAAATCATTACACACTATTTCAAGATGTAATATTCTTTTTATGGAAGTCACTAAGAGCCGTTTTAAAAATATCAAGGTCTGCCTTGTGTTTCATGAGGAATCTACCATTAAGATGAAAGACTGGAATTTCGTAGCGGTACAGTTTCCACCAAGCTCTGTTTTCTGGTGATGTTATATCCACTTTTTCAAGGACTACCTGATGGGGAAACAAAATAATAGATGTTAAGTTTTTTCTGGTATAGAATATAAACACTGAATAAAACTGGAGATTGTCAGTGTGGCTCTGAAATAGCTTTCTGTTAATCCATCCAGTCAGTTAACTCTCATTCCAAGCTCCAGGCAATTAAATCTGGATATTTCTGGCATGATACATGCAAAGCGACCACTACTAGCTGGTATCCAGAGAGAACAGTGAGGTACAGATTTTGATTTGATTTAAGAATTAACACGTCACTCGGGGCATTCCCATAAGCGCTCGGTCCCCATCTTCAGCAGTCAGCGAAGAGTTTCTATACTAATGGTGCCAGCAGCATTCTGATTAAACGTCCGTCTTGCCTTTCCTCTGAGCCTTGAGCATCTGCCAGAACTTCTCGTCACTCCCCCCTGCATCAATCTCACCAGTCTGGTGATCCTTCTGCTCCTCCGAACTGTAAACACTCTCCCACAAGGCATTAACCACGTCTGCCTCATCATGCATCATTATTCCACCAAGCTGTGCAGAGCCAGCCAGTCTGTCTGCCTGTTCATTTCCCAACACACCGGCATACCCTGGTGAAAAAATCCAGACAATACTCCTCACCCGTGTCTTCCGCAGCAAGGAATGCCACTCTGCACAAAGCATGACTGTCCTGATCTTCGATGTGTGTGTGTTGTGTTCTCTAACCAGCAGAAAGCTGCAGTGACCACCTCCACCTCCATTCATGAGCTGGATGTTGCGGTATCATATGCTAGGCTCTCCTGTACCAGGTATGGAGAAAAGAGATTTGACACTGTCTATAAAGCTTCCTCTTCTTCTTTCATTCACCTGAAATAAGTTATCTATATCAGCAATTTTGTCTCCTATAAATTTCACTGCCTTTTTTTCCTGGCCAGGTTTGCCTTAATGGGTCGTATTCAGTGCAGTGCTGGAGTACATGTTCTGCTGTCTGGTGACAACTTTCCACAGGTGCACATGGCTGCTATACCTATCCTAAATTTTTTGTACATGTGGTTGTGTAATCAGCGGTGGTCTGTTCTCAGGCGCAGGATAATTACGTGTTCTGTCTAGAGTCTTGTGCTGGAGGTGTTTCCTGATTGATTTAATGATACTTTTCTTTTGGTAGTATGTAAGTTGTACAACTGGCTGCTCTTTTGACCGTCTATAAATTATTTCCTACATGAAGAAAAAACAGTAGAACATGCAGCAATGACTAATATAATCAGAGATCCAGTCAACTGACTGTTTTCCCCCTCTGGACCGCTACCCAACATTTGATAACATAACAAACTGGAAGTGTCTATCATTAATAAATCATGCATACCCTGTTCAATCTTCTGAGATGGTTTTAAATGGAGTATCCTTTGGCTATGCCAAGTACTTTGGTGAATCCTGTTATCAAAGGGGTCAGGGATTATTTGTGTGAGCCAGTTTTAACACTAGCAGGAAGAAACATGCTAGAGGATGGAGTAGATGTGTGCATAAGCAACTGGCAACTGGAACTTTTTTTTTTTTTTTTTGGGGGGGGGGGGGGGGGCATTTCTAAAGGGAGATAGAGCACATGCCACCATGTCATTAAAGTATGATGACTGTGTTGGATGATCAACTTAAACAAAAATATACAAGTATATCAGAAATACATGTTGACCTAGCCTTAAGTGGGTGCCAGGTGCAGTCCTGGGAAGTAAAGGCGGCTGGAGTGGTGCTGACCATATCACCCACCAAGTGCTGATTGGTTTATAAAAATATAGATCTAGCTCTACATGCACAATACGCCTAAATGCGTGGAAAAGGGACCTTTACTTTACTTATAATACTTATATAAGAAATACAAGTTTGGTAAACACAGCTTTCCCTGTGGGTCCTGGAAGTCCCATTTTCAGAAGAGAAAAATAATTTATACTCGCCGCCCCTCCTCAACAAGCATGTAGTAAAAGGTGACTGATTAATGGTATGTTGAATTGATTCAAGAACAAACGTCTCAGTACTCGGGGGCATTTCCATAAGCACTCTGTCCCCATCTTCAGCAGACAGCACAGAGTTCCAATACCAGTGGTGCTAGAAGCAGTCTGATTATATGTCCGTCTAGCCTTTTTTCTGAGCGTTGAGTAAACCGAATGGCACAGATATCACACCTTAGCTGTAAACCACACCACAACTGTCCTTTTAAGAGTGAATGCAGAATAATAATAGAGTAAACACAGATTAGGACAGCCTAGTTAACACATTAGTGTAGATACTGGAAGAATGCACAGTAACAGCAAATAAATAAACAGTGGTCCACTGAAGGCAACAACAGTAACATGAATTATCAAGAAAAGATATAAAAACCGAATGAAAAATATATTAGCAAGCTTCACAATATAACAAATACATACAAAACGTGAACACTGCGGCTAATGAGCCTTCATCAGCACCTTCATCAGCACATACATGAATTATGAATCAGGAAGAATTATTAACTCAGGCACCAGACATTCAACCAAGGAGTACACTGCTGCTTCTGTGACATTTTCCCCATCAGTGCAGTCATTATTTTACAGAGATTTAGTTAGCAGGTACCTGTCTGTCTTTCTTTAGCAAAAGAGATATGATACTTTCCATAATTTATATATAATTACCTGCATGAGAAAAAAAAATGCATTATTAAAACACACAGTAACAACTGATAGAATCAGAGACAACTGAGTGCTGTCTGAAAAAGTATGCCAAATTCATGACTCTAAAAATAAAGTTTCTTGATTCTAGACTACAGCATTACATCTCATCTACACTCCCATACTATCGTACTTAAATTATATTTAAGAAAGAATTTAGAATGAGATATGGGAGGGTCTACCTGATCTAAGAAAGGCTCCAAATGATGCAGTGCTTCGTCACACAGTGGGCATGGTTGTTTTGTGTACAGTGTTAAAACTGGAAGTTTTCTAGAGGATGTAGTTGAACACAGTTGTCGATTGTGAGAACGACCACCTAGTCTAGTAAAATAATGATAATCCGCATGTGTTTGCAGTACTGCTTCTATCGGATACAACTGTGTGAATGACGAAAATGAACAACGTAGCCTATTATAAATAACTGAATTAATTGTCCTCGTCGACATAACAGTAACAATCTTAAGTAGTTTATTATTAGTTGACATGATTTTGAATTGAGAAACTGTTAACTTAAGAACTCATTATTTCATTTGCGGTTTGGTTTACGTCTTGATGTTTTTTTTTTTTTTTTACTGGTCTACGTCTGTTTTTCGTAAACGATTTAAATCTTCAGTTTGAAATTGAACAACACACTTCAATAAGAACAGTTTGATGTGTATCCACTAAATAATTCATTAAAATTTACTCACATAAAGAAATTGGTTTATTAATTAATAATAAACCCTCTTTTTTGTAAGTAAATTTTATTTAAGCCAATATCAATTTATTACAAATTTAATCAATGTTGTTTCTGAACCATAATAATTTACAGGATCAGTCATAATTTTGTACTATTATTTAAAATTAAACGTTACTGAATTAAACTACTTAATACAGCCCGAGGACTACATATGATGTCAATTTTCCGTCACTATTATTAATCAATGTTTTTATGCTACGACATATTTTCAATTATAATTTTCAAGTTACCGACATGCGGTCTTCCGCTTCCTCACGACGACCTGTCTTTCATTTGGCGCGTTGCTCGCAACTGCAAACGGTGAAACGCCTGGTCTCCTACACGATAGAAACCATGTCATCTGTGACACATAACTGACATAACACGAAGAAGAAGGCGTGAGCTCGTATGCCTATCTAGGCTGGTGGACATGGGGATGCAACCTGGACTTGCCAAGCATAAGAATTAACAGAGAACAGGCGTGAATTGTTTCAAGCTAGTGAGAAGATCTGGCCGGAGTGCTGTGATGATAATTATCATAATATACCTTTTTTGTGAAACAATTTTTACTTCATTCTTTAGTCAAGACGCTCGTAAATTAATCAAAACGAACTTCAAACTGAAGGATGTTTCTTTCAGTGTTCCTAACCCTAACGGTCTTTTTTTTTTTTTTTACACGTTCCTCCAGTGCACCCTGTTTTACGTTTCAGCGCAAATTTCTTTGCAGGGGAGGTTCGTTGAACATAAAGAAATTTGCGTGTTCTTTGGCAGTTGCAGTCCGTAATGCGAGTATTTGTTATTTTTGGAGTTCTTAGCTCTTTACTTCATGAAGGTAAGGGTTTGTCCCTGCCTTTAGTTGGACCAGAGCAGCCCAAAATACAGAAATACTCGATCGAGCGTTTTGATAAATTATTTGCAGATCTTTCTGCAAAGCAGAATATTACACACTGTTTGAAAGCCTAGTATCTCTTGAACATTGTGTGCTGCCTGCTACATTTCAAAATACTTTTATGGTGCCTATTCTGGGTAATGTATTGATACTGAGTCCCCTCTCGTTTCTATTTGTTGTCCATCTGCATAAATTCTGCTTCACCTGTTTGTATTCCTCAAAGTGTAGGAGCGAATTGTAAACCTGTCTTCTCCCCCCCCCATTTGTATTCAGTCTCATTTTTAAAATCGAATTCCAGCTTAAATTAGGTGCGAGGAAATATTCTTTGACGGAAAGTTGGCCGGTATGATACTGACAAGATCATACACTAAATGCCAGTTGGTAGATGTGAATAGTAACGACTATCACTTGTCTATGTACCATATGCCTTAAAACATGGAGACATTGTTTAGCATTTTCATATCTAGTATTCATGTAGGTCTGGGTGTTGTCTAACCGAAAGCAGGGCCTTTTCCCAGCTGTATTGTAATAGATACTTTGTGGTGGGTTTATCTTTCCTCTTGAGCAGATGTTGTAGCTCTCCGTGTCTGAAGGTTCTTTGCCACATATTTTATTTAGGTCGTAAGTGTTACGTTCATTACGCCTGTGGTTTCGCCTTCCCTGATGATGGTTCCACACAGTGTCTCTTTTGGTCTTCCCCGTTTTCTTTTCCTATTCTGGTCTTATCCATTCTGACTGCATGGCCGATGTAGTTCTAGTGGCGCGCGCTTTCTTATAAAATGTGTAACATTATCTTGCTTGGTCTTTTTTTTGTACCGCCCCCACCCCCTCCCCTCCCCCAAGAAAAAATCCGTCAGAATATACATGACAACCTGAACTGAAATCAAGACTTTTCGTTACAGGCGCTTGTTTTTCAACTATATTTTTGTTTTAGTTCTGCTGTAATAGAGACTTTGTGGTGAATACCGACGCCTTTTTCCCCAGGAAAAATCCGTACCTTAAAGTATGCACAGAAAAGGGGGGGGGGGGAGCTTTATGCGCATGATTCGCTTCTGGTCGAAGCTTTTGTTCAGAATTGTAATGATACAGGCATGGTGTATCCCACATTTATCTTACTCCGTGTCTTTGCCTTTGTGTGCATACGCAGAGAGGTTCTTAGGACGGGACGGGCGTCAGTTGGTCCATTTTATACTTCGCGACCAGCACGAGTATATTCCGTCACTAACAAACATGTATTGAAAGGCGACTAATTAACGGTTCGCTGAAACTGGACGTGTCAGGCTGAAATGTGCAGACATCACAGCCTGTATGTAAACAACAGCACCACTTGTCAGCAGCCCTTCCAGGGAGTTGAGTTGAGTCAAGAATTGACATCACAGCACTCCCATGCATGCTCCGTCCTCATCTTCAGCAGCCAGCACAGAGTTCCAATACTGATGGTACCGGTCACAATCTGGTTAAAAGTCCGTATTGCCTTTCCTCTGAGTGTAGTGAGCCGGCCAGACCCTCTGGTTACACCCAGGTGCCTCATTCTCTCCAGGCCATAATAATCTTCTTTCTCTACTGATTCCGTTGCTTGTTCCCAAAGGGCCTTGACCACATCTGCCTTGTCATGTTTCAATTCACCAACCAGTGGTGCAGATCCAGCCAATCTGTCTGCCTGTTCATTACCTACCACACCGGCATAGCCGTGACCTTTCCAGTGAAGCTAACCACTCTGCATCCCTGTTCTCTCCTTTTTCAGCATGCTTTCAGAGTCCCTTTAAAGGAAAGCACACAAGAAAAGATACTTTGCTACGTAATTAATCAAGTTTGAACACTCTTACGTCCCTTTAGCAAACATGAATCGGAGATTGCATACTTCCCCTGGTGAAGTCTATTCCTCTAAAGACTGACTGGCTTTACCTATAGACTACATTGTGGCGAGTGCATTGTGCCCTGGTTTTGATGCAGCCCTCTGAAGTAGTAAAAATGAATGACTTAGGTAATATGACTTCAGTTAAAATGTTCCATTATATCTGCATGTTTGGTCCTCCCTCCCCTACCCATCCTCTCGGTGACCATTCTAGTCATAGATTTTGTTTAGTCTCCTTCACGTTCACCGGCTGTAAATTGCGGCGGAAAGTTCTGGTCGTTAGTAACCTGAGTCTTGTTTCAAAATGAAGTTTGCATGCACATCCCTTTTATAGGCCTAGCTCCCCTTGTGGGTTCCGGGGCCCTGTTATAGGGAAAGCAAGAAGACTCGCTGCCTACCCAAAAGCATGTCGTAAGAGTCGACTAATTGCGAGTTTCCTTCGAAGTCGGAGTGCATCTACCAGAGAAGCAAGGAACCAGCAGTCTGCAAACAAATGAGTCAGATCTGTAAAACGGATGCACCCAGATTCTGGAACAGGACTGCAGTCCAGAAGTGGATGAACATCCAGAACTTTCCGCCAAGAGTTTACAGCTGGTGAACGCAAAGAAGAAAGACCTGGCTTATTTTGATTCAGACTCCCTTGGCTCACAGACAGATGCATTCCGCCTTTGAAGGAAACCCCTAATTAGTGGACTTTTAGGTCATGCTTATCATGGAGGCAGTGGATCTATTTCAGCCCACCCCTCTTTTTCCCCCCAAAACGAGGTCCCACTAATCACACGGAGATTTGTGTTTATTGGACTCGGTCCTTTGTAAGTGGTACCAGCTCGACAGCATTTAGCCCTCTGCTCGTTACCCCTGTAAGCGTTTGTTATTGGTCGAATATTGCAGCTAAAATGTGGGTTCAAGAAACATTTTCCGGCCTTTACACATCACCATTGGTCGTTCATTTATGCTTGCTAATCTTTCACATGCGCTAGTCTAAGTTACAGGGGAGTTACGTTGTGTTCGGTTATGTATAAATACACGTTATGTTTTACTCGTTGCTCTAAGTGGCTGGCGACACTGCCAAAATCTAGCCTTCTCGGACTTCCAAGTACTACATGAATTTTCTTCAATTGTCAGCGTTGACGACGGACAAGGAGGGCCGACTGCAAAATGTTAAAAGTTCTGAAACCACGGGACGTAGGCTGCAGTTGTCGGGTGGGGGAGGGTTAAGGCCAGTTCTAGATCTTCTGGGTACGTTGAAAGCGGTCACATCGTCTAATATAGAGTACACGTCATCGCTGATGAGAGCGTCGAAGACAATACAACCGGACACCCCTGTAACAGAGTCATGCATGTGAAAGGTCAGCAAGCATGAACGAACAGCCAATCACGGCGTGCTACCTGTACTAAAATCTGACTAGGGATAAAGGGGTCTGTCTCTTGGAGGCGTATGATAGGTTCCCATTCTTTCCTTTGCCCAATAGCGCGGACACAGATGGACGTGAAAGTAAGTGAACCAGAGTCTAATTCACTGATTGCTCATGATACAGAACTGCTTACAAAAAGGATTTTCCGCTCATACCCACCACCGGATACACCAGCAGTTTTCAACCTGTGGGTTTCAATCCCTTTGTGTGTGTGTGTGTGATCTAAGACCCTTACAAAGTGGTTGCCTAAGACCAACAGAAAACATATTCACTGAAGTTATGAAGTAGTAACGGAAATAATTGTATATTTGGGGGTCGCCACAGCATGAGGAACTGTATTAAAGGGTGGCCACAACATGAGGAACTGTATTAAAGGGTCGCCACAACATAAGGAACTGTATTAAAGGGTCGCCACAACACGAGGAACTGTATTAAAGGGTCGCCACAACATGAGGAACTGTATTAAAGGGTCGCCACAACACAAGGAACTGTATTAAAGGGTAGCCACAACATGAGGAACTGTATTAAAGGGTCGCCACAACACAAAGGACTGTATTAAAGGGTAGCCACAACATGAGGAACTATTAAAGGGTCACCACAACATGAGG